TAAGTTTTGAATTTCTATTATTAATGGATTGCTGGGCTTATGATGGTCTATTGATATTAAGCTGGACAAGGAGTCTGTGAAGATGATATATTCTTTCTTTATTAGAAGTTTAATTAATAAAATTTATTGCCATCTTTATTGCTAAAAGCTCTGCCTTGAAAAATGCAAAGTAAGCTGGTAAATGTTGTATAGGGGTGCCTTTTGATCGGGGATAAAAACTGCTGCCGATGTGGAATTTCTTTGTTTTGAGCCATCCGCATAAATTGTTGTGGATTGGGGATTATTTGAAATTATTTCATGATATTTAATTTTGCATAGGCTTGTGTTTTTGTTAGAATCGTTAATCGTGAGATCTATTTCTGGATGTTTCCTTGATCATGGGGCCAACTCCGGTTCTATTTCCTTCATTATTTTTGTTTGCCCCAGAATTTCCTTCTGCTTCATTATTTGCTGGGCTTATGATGGTCTATTGATATTAAGCTGGACAAGGAGTCTGTGAAGATGATATATTCTTTATTAGATGTATAATTAATAAGATTTATTGCCATCTATATTGCTAAAAGCTCTGCCGTGAAAATTGAAAAGTAAGCTGGTAAATGTTGTAATAGGGGTGCCTTTTGATCGGTGATAAAAACTGCTGGTGATGTGGAATTTTTTTGTTTTGATTGTTGTGGATTGGGGATTATTTGAAGTTATTTCATGATATTTAATTTTGCATAGGCTTGTGTTTTTGTTAGAATCGTTAATCGAGAGATCTATTTCTGGATATTTCCTTATTCATGGGGCCACCTCCGGTTCTATTTCCCGCATTATTTTTGTTTGCCCCAGAATTTCCAAGTGTTTCTCTAATCTTTTGTTTATCGCCGATATTGGTTTTGACTTTGGCATTCATATTGTCTGTTGTTGATGTGATATATTTAAAAGCTGGGTTATTCCTCTGTGATTTTATTTTTAAGTAGTAGTTTATTGACATTTTTAGTTGTCTTAAATGTCTTGACGATTCTGCTGCCTGGACATGCATACTGACTGATGAGGATGTGTAAAAAACCCCAAGACATTTTCTTAATGCTTCGTTTGTAATGGGTTCTATGGTCTTTATGTAAAAGTTTCTTGTTGCCCCATACACTTGACAACCATAATCTAGGATAGCTCTTATTGTGGCTCTATAGAATATTAGTAGATTGTTTTGGTCAGCGCCCCAATAATGGTGTGATATTGCTTTAAGAAGGTTAAGTCCTTTTTGACATTTAGGTTTGACTTTGATTATGTGGGGAAGAAAGTTAAGTTTGTTGTCAATTATGAATCCTAAAAATTTGTGTTCTGATTCGTATTTTATTTCTTCCCCTTGAAAAATTATTTTTGGATATTCTAACTTTCTTTTTTTTGGGAAAAATGTTTTGGATTTTGAAAACTTAAGTCCGTTTGTCTCCAACCATTTGTTAATGTTAATTAGGATTTTGTTGGCATTATTTTCGATTTGGGTGGAGTTTTTATCTCTGATGGTTATTGCTAAGTCATCTATGTACAAACATGTAAAGATGTTTTTGGGGAGTACTTGAGTTGATGTTGAGACAGAAAAGTGTGGGAGACAGAATGCTTCCTTGGGGGATACCCATTTCTAGATGCATAACTTGTGACAGTGTTGTTCACCTTTACTTAAAATGTGCGGTTTGATAAAAAAACCTTTTATGAATTTGGGTAGAATGCCTCTCAGGTCTGCTTTATGAAGGTTATCCATTATACCATATTGCCATGTAGTGTCGTAGGCTTTTTCTACGTCGAAAAAAATTGTTAAAGCTTGTTCATTATTAGCAAGTGCATTTCGAATAAAGGTTTTTAAGGACACAATATGGTCTAACGTTGATCTTCTTTTTCTTCCTCCACATTGTGTGCTTTTGATTATATTATGTTCACTGATATACCATGTTAGCCTATTGTTTATTATTTTTTCAAAAATTTTGCATGTACAGCTAGTTAGGGATATAGGTCTGTAGGTGTCTGGTTTGTCTTTTGGTTTTCCTGGTTTAATAAAAGGTAAAATTATTGCATGGAGCCAAATTTGAGGAACTTTTGAGTTTAACCATATGAAGTTGTAGATATTCAAATATTTTTCTGCTGCTATTGAAGGAATAGCTTTTAATATATCGTATGTTCTTTGATATTTACCTGGAGAGGAATTCTGACTGCTGCTTATTTTATTAATTATTTCCTTGTAGGTTATTGGTTGGTTGTAATCTTCATTATTGTTGGGTTCAAAGTCTAATATGACCCTTTTTTTGCGTTGTTAAGGTTTGTAGCTAGGGATTTTTTTTTGAAATGATTGACTAGTACTTCTGCTATTTCCTTCTCTGTTTCGTGTATTTTAATTTGATCCTGTATGTGGCTTGTGTGACATTCTGTGTATTTATTTTTAATCTTATTAACTATTTACCATATTTCCTTTATTGGAGAGTTTTTTTTCATGCTATTGACATATTTTGTCCAACATAGCTTTTTCTCATCTCTTATGGTTCTTCTGGCCAAAGCTTTTGCTTTTTTATACTCTATTAGATTATTCGAAGTAGGGTTTTTCTTGAAATTTTTAAACTGATTGAATTTATATTTAATTTCTTCTTTACATTGATCATTGAACCAAGGATTTATGATTTTGTTATTTCTATTATTTATTATTGGTGTCGTTTGTTTAATTGCCATCATTATTGTCTCAATTCAATTTTCAATCAAATTTCAAATTTTCATCAATGTCCTTCCATAACAAAAATTGATCAGCACATATTTTTTAAAATTGCTTCTAGCTGGTTTTTTTTTTTGAAATTCAGGTTTTTTTTTTCTTGACGACATGTTTTGTGTTTTCTTTAATTGAATCACGATTGGGAAGTGGTCGCTACCGTGCAGGTCATTGATGACAGACCAACTAACTTCATCGTATAAAGATGGAGAAATCAAGGCAAGGTCAATGGTGGAGAAGGTATTTGTTTGTTCATGGAAGTAAGTTGGTCCTGTAGGAATTATTAAACAAATGTCTCCTCGTGTTATTTCTTCTAAATATTTACCTTGAGGGTTTGTACGCTTACTACCCCACCAAATGCTGTGGCCATTGAAGTCTCCGATATTTAATTATCAGCGGTTTAGATAGTTTATTGATTACTTTTAAAATGATTTCTGACTTCATTGGTAAATTTGGAGGTGCATACATATTACATATAGTTATTGTTTTGTTTGTTGTAATTTTTGTTACTATTATATTTAATTTTTGATCTATTTTGATTTCTGATTGTGTTATTGTATTTTTAATGTACGTTGTTATCTCTCCTACTGAATTTGTTTGTGATGGATGTGCTGCTTTTGAGTATGTTGAATAGTGTTTTATGTCTATATGTTTGTTTGGATTTAATTTAGTCTCTTGTAAACATATAATTTGTGGTTGTTGTTCGTTTATTAATATTTGTAGTTTGGAAAGATTGCAATTTTCTGATATTCCATTGAATTATTTTTATTTCATCTTCTGTTCTGTTGTTTTTATTTGTTTCGGATTTTTTATCCATGTTTGCTTTGGGAAGTTTTGAGTATTTGTGTTAGGTTATAGCATGCTTCCTCTGTTTCGTCTATTACTTGGAGAATGTTCTTGTCATAGTTACTATTATGGTTATTTGTGTTAAAATTATTATCTTTGTTGTTATCATTATAATTGTTATTACCTTTTTTATTGTTGTAGTCATGACTATATTCACTCTTATTATTCTTTATACCATCATCATCGCGACTTCCACCATTACCTATAACTTTACTTTTATTGTTAAGCTTATTATGGCTACCATTATTATTATTTGTATACTTATCATCGTTACTGGCATTACAATTTTTACTATCGCTATTATTTTTACCACTTTTGTTTTTATCGTTATTGGTTATTGTTATTGAAATTATTTGTATTATTATTATTATTCAGATAGATTTCTTTTCCTTTTTTCAAGAGTTTAAGAGGTTCAGCTGGAATTAGGGCACATGAAATGCTCTTGTCAAATTTTTGGGTGACCTCTTTCGTTACGTTTGCATGTTATTTGTTTGGTTTCTGGATAAGATATTTTCATAGTTATTTTAGTTTTTATAATCTCCTTCTGCTCCTGATAAACTCGACATGACTTGTCATAGGTAGGATGCTTCTATCCACAATGGAAGCACTTTGATTTCTTGTGACATGGCTTTTCTCTGGTGTGTATGTGACCAGTTTCACCGCAGTTGCTACATATTGTTTGTTTATTGTTGCAAATATTTTTGTGGTGACCATATAATTGATATATAGTGCATCTTGTTGGATTGGGAATGAATTCCGTTACTTTAATTTTTTCATAGCAAATTACAATTGAATTTTGGATGACATGAGATTGGAAAGTTATTATATGTGTTGGTTTTAATTAACTATTTGTTTTTCTTAATAGAAATGTCTTTAGCATCTATAACCCCTTGTGGTTTTAATTCCTCTTTTATCTCCTCTTATGAGCAGTTTCTTAGATGACTTGTCCCTTTGTGTAATTTAGAGATCTATGGGGCGAGAATCTTACTTTTTATGTTTATATTTTTAACATTTCTATCTTTTCCCCTTGTTTTGCACCTTTGATCTGTATAATTATTTTATTTTTCCCTATTTTTATGTTGTCTACTTCTCCCACATGAGCATAAATTTCCCTTTGAATTCGGAAACATGTTAATTTACTTATGTCATAGTCTCTCGAGGGTGAATTCAACAAAATAAAAATCAGTCATGATCTAACACGTGGTCAGCGCGTTGAGCTGCGAGAATTGATTGCTGAAGCTTATGATGGCCATTTTTTATACAGAGTGAAGGGCCGAGTGGGACGCTGGAAAATAGTAAAGCTTCAAAAAACTGCAATCATCTAATATTAAATTTTGGTCTTCTTAATATAAGGTCTGTTGTAGCAAAGTTTAATGTTGTTTATCAATTGTTATCTGGTGGATTGGACATTTTCCTTTTGTGTGAAATGTGGCATGGTTCTCCTGAAGATCCGTCTATTCAGTTGGCCATGCCGCCAGGTTTTAGTTTCTTGCAAGTGTTGAGGCCTCATGATCCTTACCATGGTGGTCTTATTGTTTTTTTCAAGAAGATGTTCAAGGCCAGGAAAATTGAAGTTCCGGTTTTTCAAACCTTCGAGACTATTATAGTTGAATTTTCTTTTGAGCGTCGCAAAGTTTTTGTTTTTGGTATTTACAGACCAGATTCAAAATTGGTCACATTTTTGTTTTTTGGTGAGCTGACATCAGTGTTAGAACACTTATTTGCATTGGGTGATGGTTTGATAGTGGCTGGTGATTTTAACATCCATATTGAAAAGCCTGGTGATACGCACTCAATTAATTTGCTTAAAATATTTGATTCGTTTCAATTAACAAACGAGGTTAATGAGCCTACCCATAACTTGGGTGGCACACTTGATTTAGTTGCGTCCACTCCTGATATTCCTTTGTCTAATTGTAGAGTGGATCCCAGTGATGTTTATTCAGATCATGGTCTGATTAATGTTTCATTCTCGGTCAGTGTCAAGCTACCATTGACAACAAGGCGGTTGGTTCGCTCTTGGAACCGTTTGGATACACATCGTTTTAAATCACTAATTTTAAACTCTCCAATCAGCGGTCCGTTTGAAAGTGATGACGTGGATAATGCATTTGTGTTGTTTAATCGTGAGATGAGGAGGGTTGTTGATGAAGTGGCTCCACTACACTATGTCAACTCTAAATATGAGCCATTAGCCCCTTGGTTCGACGGAGAGTGCAGGGATTTGAAAAGGCTATGTCGCAGATTATAACGCGTTTACCGAAACAACCCAAGTGATAAAAATAAGAATATCTGGCGACAAGCTATTAAAGATAAATATTGCTTGTTTGTCAAAAAGAAAAATTGTTATTGGAAAGACTTGGTGGAATCAAATAGCAACAAACCAAAACGTTTTTGGAATGCCGTTAACGGTTTGCTTGGAATGGAACAGGTAATGGATGTATCAGAAGTTGATCATAGTTCTCTTGACCTTTCCAAGTTTTTCAAAAGCAAAATTGATGATGTTCGTAATTTAACCAATCATTGTGATGAACCAACATTCACTCCATGTGACCTTGAATCTTTTTTCAAACTTTTCGCCCTGTACTGACAGCTACATAAAAAAAAGTCATTTTAGAATCTCCATCAAAATCTTGTTTTCTTGATTGTGTGCCCACAAAGATTTTTAAAAGATTTGTTTTTACCGTTTTTAACGTTTTTTAAAAATTTGTGTTTGAGTTCTGGCTCAATTCCATCTGCCGGTTTACCAGTCGGGTTATCGTATATTTCACTCGACGGAAACAGCTTTAATTGATGTTTCGTCAAGGTTGTATTCATCAATGGACGAACAAAATGTGTCATTGCTTGCTCTCTTGGGCATGAGCTCGGCGTTCGATTGCGTCGATCATGCAATACTTCTCAAAAAACTGAAGCAAACATTTGGACTATCGGGAGTCGTTCACAAGTGGTTCGTGTCGTACCTTGCTGGTCGTACTCAACAAATTTTATTCAAGACAAATTTGGCAGCTGTCGATGCTTTGTCATACGGTTTACCACAGGGTTCCGTCTTAGGCCCCATTCTCTTTTTGCTTCATACAGCAGATGTTTACACTATAATTGAGTCGTACAATTTCAGGTTTCATGCATTTGCTGACGACATCCAAATAATAGCCAACTCTTCTCCCTCATCGTTTGGTGATGTGGTCGATGATTTAGTATCGTGTTTATCAGCCATTGATGTTTGGATGATGGGGCACAGATTAAAGTTAAACCAATGCAAGACCCAGTTTTTGCCTGTGGGTACATGGCAACAAGTGAATAGAGTGGGTATCAACACTATCAGAATAAAGGAATTTGTCATCGAATTTTGTGCGTCAGCACGAAATCTTGGATTTATTTTTGATACAAACATGACAATGCAATTGCACATAAAGTTGTTGTTTAAAGAATGTACTTACCAATTGAGAAAATTGAGACTCATCAAAGGATCTCTAAATATGCATACATTGCAATGTTTAATTTACTCGTTCATTCACTCGAGGATCGATTATTGCAACAGTTTATTCTACGGTTTACCCAAAAAGTATGTTGCAGTTACAATTAATTCAAAATTGGGCTGCCAAGTTGTTAACTGGTGGTTCATATTTTGATCATGTTACTCCTATTTTCTTCAATCTTCATTGGTTGCCCGTTCAACAGAGAATTATTTTTAAAATTGCCCTACTGGTATACAAAAGCATTAATGGATTAGCGCCGAAATATTTAATGGATAGAATTGTTCCAAGAAATGCACCGTTACAGTGTCAGAAGTTACGGTCAAACAATTTAGATTTGTTAACAATTCGTCCAAACTCAGCTAGCTGTTGATTGCAGAGATTTCGCTGTTATGGGACCGAAGATTTGGAACAGTTTGCCAGTCGACTTGCGAAATCGTGGGTTGTCAATTACTGAATTTCGAAGAAAGCTAAAAAACCATCTTTTTAGACAAACTTTTCATGATATGATTTGATTGAAGTGAAACATTTAATCAACTTTTACATTAGCGCATTTAATCAACTTTTACATAAGGGCGCTTTATATATAAATAATCTAATAATAATAATAATAATAATAATAATAAAGTATTTTATACCGTTAATTGATAAAAAAAAGTTTTGTTGAAATTTACCTTTAAGCTGTTGGTTTTCAAAATGTCAAAAAATTAAAAACTCGGGTTATTTGGTGCCATTTTTAACCATGAAGGACTACATTTAAAAAAACATGTTTATTATAATATATTTGATATTTATATTTGTGTATGTAATCATTATTGTTATCAAAATCGCTAACTAATCATGGTAACAACCAAAAAATCTAAGCTTTATATATGCATATTTCGAGGCACATACCTAGAATAAATATAACGGCCTTCGCTCACTTTTAACGGCCGAACAAGGAGTTTACTTCTGGAGCGAATATGGAGGGTGATTTTTTAATTTCGGAATATTGCTTTTATTTAAAATGTTAAAATTTTAATTTTTTTCAATTGTTATTCAATGTGGTGATTAATTACCTTTAAATAGAATCGATATTACCGAAATTAATTAAAAGTTTAAAAAATTGAGGTTCTTTGCATATTCCTGCTTCAACCCATAAGAAAGTGTTGTATATTAGTAAATAGGCCTCCCCTTGTTCCGGGGCATATTCAACATAATGCATAGAGACATACATGCGAAAAGTTAATTTAAAATATTTCTCTACCCATACATTTATTTCTTGTATTTTCCACGATGGACGTTTTTGGGGCGCCGTTCAAAATTTTCTGTTGTGTATCTGTATTAGTTTAAAAATAATTAATCATGATAACATTAAAAAATTGGACAGTTGAAAGGTTTGGCGACAGTTCCGTCTACGTCGAAGGAGTGCGAGTGTATGTAGTAAGGTTTTAATCCTTTTCTCATCAACAATTGTTCTCATTAGTAGAGATTAGATTAGTAGAGATAATTTATTAAATTAAAACTAAAATTAAATGTAAATAGAAATAAACAAAATTTAAACAATTTACTTATATTTAAATTTAATACTTAACTAATTTAAATTTTTTTTGTGTGCTAACTAATAACTGATGAATGTAAATTGTAAGTTGTAAGTAAGTAAATCATAAATGATAAATATTTATAATAATGTAACTTACATAATTAATTTGTAATCTGCTAATGACTAATGTAATTATGGATAAATATAATTATATTATCTTTTATTTATGTTTTATTAGTTTTGAGGTTTTGCCTTTTGAACCTTGAACTTAAAAGAAACTAATGCTGGTAAATAGTAAATCATAATACCATTTACTGGCATTTAGTAAAAAATCTCTTAAATTTAAGTATTTATTTAACCAAGGAAAGAATGGTCTGGCTGGGTCACCTCAAGTTTCATTAATTGATTTTATTATTATAGAAATGTTTTATTGTTTTGTATATTCAATATTGATATTAAAATTTCAATTCAGTGATAAAAGCTATTTATAATTTACACCAGGTGAAAAATTGTCTTTTACTTATCTCATGTGAAAATAATAAAAAAATAAAATAATGTTAGTTTAGATTTTAGTGTTGCCAGCTATCATTTTAATTTATAGTTTAGTAATGAAGCTTTTCCTCAAATAGCTTTGATGGGTAGACATGTCACTGATATCCAAAACTTTGTTTTGTTAGTGTTAGTCTTACAGTTATTCATTGACAAATCTTTCGCATGTGCAGCATAACCTTGCTTGGGCAAGGTTATGCTACAATTGTTATGTTTGTTAAAGATACAGATACCATAGACAAACATTTAACTTTAGACTGCAAGATGGTGTAACAGTAAAGGCTTGGCACAGCTGTTGCAGTGACCAGATTCAATTGCAAGGAGAACCTCGCCAATCACATGCATTGTGTGTGTGATGCGTTGTTTCACGTTGGTTTACATGCATTCTGTGCTTGCTGTTGATGCCTCATAAAAATTTTGAAGGACGAATTGTGATAAATAAATAAATGATTACCATGCCTTAATGGGGCTTGTGCAGGATTTTTCGTCTGACCTACCGCGATCACGTCACCAACATTGAGTTGAGAAGAACACAACAGCCTTCCGTTTCCTCACTCCTGTTAAGGTGTCATCTAAACTTCTTTGATCACATAGCTCTTGCCAGTCTATGGAGGATCATTACCGGGTCGATCATTACCGACCACCACCGAACTGGACTCGACCGCGTGACTGTCCAAGACAATCATGGATCTGCTAATCAACTACGGTCCTTACTCAGTCTGTAGACTTGCTCATGATCGCTTGAAATGGAGGCACCTTGTGAACACAGCAACGTCCCGTTATGCAGCACACCAATAATAATAATGCCTTAAGCAAATTTTCAGTAGTACAGCAACGATGTTTGTGTAATATATGCTCTATAAAGATGGAGATTTGTTTTTTAAAATTAGATTTACATAATTAAAATATCAAACAAATTGTAAAATAATCATCTGAGGCTTTAAAAATTTTTGTGCAAATTGTACGACAACCAGAAACAGGTTATGAAACTTATAGCATAGTGCAAATGAAAAAATCTGTCCAAAACATTTGTTCATTCAAAATATAATGATAAAATAATATAAAAATTTGTAAAAAATGTATAAAAATAATTCCAAAAATACTTAAGTTTGCACTTTTTAAAAAACATATCTTTGGCATGAGTTCATTTTTATCCAGAGTGTACAGATGATTATGCTAATATATCTGCCTTGAAATTTTCAGATGGAGATGGGAAAAATTGGAAAATAAAATTTTTTTAATTGGGCCAAATTTGTATGTTTGTAAGATATATCGAAATCCAATGTACGTTTATTTATGCGTTTGTATGATATATGTGATTATTGATGTTAAAATTTGTTGATATATCCTTTTAAAAGTGCCATTCTCTAAAAAAATTGTGAATAATTAATTAATATTTGTAATTAAATGGATGGAATTAAACGTTCAGTGTTGCCCCTTTTATCTAGTTTTTCTAAAAATTTAATATTGAGATCTTTTTTGAACTGTATGAGGTGTTGTTAACTGTCTTGATGGCAACCCACACAATTGTAAAGTATAATATGGTAAGCATAAATAGTAACGGTTTATGACTGAACACTTTACGACATGACGTTGCATCGATTTTGATTTGAAAATTTTGAAATTTGATGTGTGGTTCTCATGCCTTTTAACATCTCAAGTAGGAATTCACCTTATGATTGGTACCCTCTAAGCTCTGCTCTAAAGTTTTTGGGGTTTGTTAATAGTATTTCTTGGAATGTATGGTAAAAATAAAAGGAATTTCGAAGTTCAGTTTTATTTGAATTTAATTTTTAGACTAGGCTTTTTTAATAGTGATTCTAGAAATATATAGTGAAAGTTAAAATAAATTCTGAAGTTCAGCTTTGTTATTATACTCAAAAAGATAATAGTATTTATATTTACATTTCATAAGTTGTAGGTTTCGCAATGTACAAGTTTCACAAACAAATTGTTGCTTGATGAAATTTGTGGTATTAATAAATGACCATGACAATGGGAAAATTAATTTAAAATCATGAAAAGTGATTAGATGTAAAATTAAACAAAGTGATAATATGGGGCTAGATTTATTAAATAGATTGACTGGATTTGGTTGACGAAATCAGAAAAATTGAAATACTTTGGAAACCTAAGATAAGCTTTCGGATATAAACTCAAGTTGAGAAATTATATGAGGTAATTACATTAGGTATTATGGATCAGGGACGTGTATTATGTTTCAGATTTTATGAAATAGAAAGTACTTTGGAAATATAAAATTACATTCATTTTTCAAAATATATGGATTTAAATAAAATTGACAAGTGCTTTAAATTTTTTATAAATTAAATTAATTTTTTAAATATTTTTTTTAATGTTTGATTAAAACAACAGTGATGATAATACATTGTGGCATAGTAGTAAAATAAGGAGGAGGATTAACACAACTACCTTAGAAACATGCACTGGTAACAGGTATTCATTGGTAGGACCTATGCTGACTTTCAAAGCTCAGTCCAAGAAAGGTGTTTTAAATTGATTGATTTATTTATTTCTATCCATGACACGCATCCATTATTTTGATTTTAGGCAACTCAGCTGGTGTAGTCAGTAAGTTCGCTCATGGTTTCCCATATAATTGGAAATCAATCCTAAAAAGGAAGTTAGTAAAAGTTAATTGATGTTTTGTTTTTAATGTATAAAACAGTCCTGGTCAAACAACCTAATAAAATTGAAAAATCAATGAAATAGAAAATTTAATAAAAACATCAGAG